TAAGCAGTGGTATCAAGGTTACCCCTGCTGCTCAGTCAAGCCCTACCCATTCATCTGAAAGTGATGCTAAGACTTCTGTTAACAAAACTGATTTGGCAAAGGAACTAACAAAACTGCGAGCTATGGCTGGTATAAGGCCTACTACATCCCCTGCAGGTAGTACTTTCATCATTTTCTTCGACTTTTTTGCCCAATTTTCTAAAATTGTTTTCAGTCCAAGCTCATGTAACCAGACCTTGTGGACTGTACGATCATTCACGTCCAGGACCAGCAACACCACCACAACCACCACGACCAACTACCGGTAGATCCTCACTTGGAGCTCAGCCCACGAATAGAAACTGCTTAGCTGCTTCTAAAAGTGGTGCAAGTGGGGCTGCCGGTTCAACCTCCTCTGGACAGTTCAGGTAAAATGAGTGGCTTGCTTCATGCGTTTACCAATGACTACTTCAATTTCATTCGGAGCAGTTCGGTTTTCTGAGCTTCTCGTCTTTCTTTTGGTTATGGTTTTGGAATTACTGGGATGCTTGGGATATCGAAGATTACTCAAGCTTTATCTTCAGTTGTTAAGATTTGTTTGCGTTCTCTGCTGTCGTCCCCGCAAGAAGACGAGATTTTTCAGAACCACAGAACTGTATACTTTTTCCCTTAATCAGCTTCAATGCATAGCAGGTAGCTTTGAAGGACAACTTTCTAATTATGGTTTTGAAAATCGTCAAGATCGTAAATAGTATTGGCGTGCTAAAACTTCGAAAAGGAGAAAATTTATTGCAGTAATTTCTTGCTTTAGGCATTGACAATTTCAAATCGTAATGAGAAGGAAAAACCAAAACTGCCCCCTTGTGGGCAGCAACAACACCTACAATTTTCCCCATTCTTACAGATTCATAAGAAAATAATTGTACTTTCTCTTAGGAAGTGGCGGTGCCAAAGCGAAACGTACGTGGGATAAGTTTATGTGTTTACTAGTGTTCATGCACGCTGTGTTAGTTATAGTTAGGGACGGCAATGGCACGCAAGCTTACCTCACTTGGGTATTATCGTTTGAGATATTCTGTCCTTCAGTCTAATTTTTCCCGTACTATAAGCCTGCTTGCTGCTTGCTTGCCTAACTATTTGCCGTCCTAATCTTTTATTAATTAGACCAAGTTTCCTTTCCAACGACAGGTTTTTTCCTGCTTGCTTTATGTTATTATTTTTTCGCAAATTTTTCTCGATTTTTTCTTTGCAAAACTTAGCAAGGACGCATGGCGTTGGAGTATATTTCTCTCTTCGTGTGTACCATAAAAGGCATGAGGAATGTTTATTAGCTATCGTAAGTCTCGATTACTGCCCCCATTCGGTCGGTCAGTACGTCAGTGACGGGTGCTGCTTGGCCTGTTCTTTTTCTTTGCGGTGTTGTGTCTTGTAGAATAGCGTTGTGCATATTTTCAGAAGAGGTGATGGAGGCCGCTATTCGATGAGAGGTGCAAACGCGCAAGGAGTCGCACCATCTAGCCCTCAGCAGTGCTCGAAGAGACCACCATTTAGGGCTGGGGTGGCACCACTGCGGCCTGGGGTTAGATTTTTCTACATGAAAAACATCGTCTGTATTTGCGTGTGTATATCAGACTTATCTTTTCGTTTAGTTTGGTAACCCTGATAAGCAAAAGGAGCAGGAAATGAACGCATGGTTACGAAGGAAGGACTATAATCCCATGAAGGCAGCTGCTGAAGCGAGAAAAGCAAGAGAATTGAAAGCCAGGTAAACACTAAAAATCAGCTCCATTAGAGTCAAATTTCTTGGCCACTTTCCTTTTTGAAATATCGCGTTACTTTTGATGCATGCGCTTGAAAGAACCAAGCCGCTCCGAAACTTTTTGAGCGATGCTGCTTGTTTGCGCCTTCTCTAAATTCTCTTTTCAAAGGCATGGCAGTATCCCTCTTAATGCTACATTTTTCCTCTGAAAATGAGCAAATCCCGCTGATCTTCTCAATACTGAATATGCAATTTATATGCAGCTTTTATAAACAGAATGTGCCTTTAGCGATACTAACCTATCTGTATTAACAACTGCTAGTGATTCCGAACGGTAAGTCAGGTGGATGTGATGATGCGTTGTGCTGTTTTTGGCTTGTGCTATTTTTGTTATCTTTGATTCTCGCATCGATTCGTGCACCGATAGTTACAAATAGAAAAGAATGTTTTTCAGAGGAGAACAATTCATGTCAAATCGATCTATATCCTTCCATGTAGGGCCAGTGATGCCGAAACCAATAAGGGTGAGTTGAACTGGGTTTAATTTACTGTGAACCTTCTCCTTTTTTTTCGTTCGAATTTTGCTAGCAAGAAATCTACATTATGAGAAGGGAACAGAATTTGGTCTCCGCGCATAGAACAAGAGCATTTCACAGGAAATCAAGAGGGCTAGAATCAAATTGGACCACGCAAGCAGTCCTCTTTGGTTGTAGCCTAATTTCTTGATTTTGTTTGATATGCTCTTTTTTGTCGCTGCTTACTGTAACAAAATGTTTCCAGAGAGATGGTTTTGGTGATATGGTACGAAATCGATCCCAAGAATCACTAGCCGTTGAAGAAGCCGAACATGCCAGTCAACGAGTACTGGCTGAATACTCGCGTGGAGTTGTGCAAGATATCTCACGCTTGTCTCAACAAAGCAGTCGTGCCAGTGGAAAGGTAGTTTTGCATATTTTCCAAGCTGCAACAGTTGGAATACTTTTCTAATTTATTCAGCAAATCAGTGGCCTGGCTCGTGCCGTGGATATGCTATCACAAAAATGCAAGAAGAGCATTGAGTTGATTCGGTGAGTTACGAAACTTCCATTGATCCGGTCATAGAGCTTGCTGCGCTTCTTTTCTTAAGTGAAGTTTGGTCTTATAGATCTCAAAACAAAGGATGCCTGTCCGTTTCCGTGGAAGATCTTCTAGCTGCTGCAGCAGAGCCTCCACGAAAGGGAGAGACCTTGAATGAGCAACTGGACAGGCTTTCAGATGCATTTGATGCTGTGCAAAGGTATATAGTCAGAGCTCTTGAATACGCTATGACGTTTTTGTTTTTTTTTTGGGGGGGGGGGAGTGGGGGAGTTTCTGTTTGAGAGAGGAAGGAAATCATGTAGTTGTTTCAAAGAAAAACACCTTGTTTGTATTGCTGCGTTGTTTCCAGATACCTGGAGCAGTACTCACTAGAAGACGGGCACCATTCACCAGTTCCTGACTTCCAAGATGATGCATCTGACATCCACTCAACGGTAACGAGCTCGTCATTTTCCACTCACAGGCAAGTCTCCACCTCCCTGCCGTTGAAACTGACGTTGTTTGTTTCAGCATTCGTAGTCATCAACGCACATCCAGAAGCCCGCTTTCTACGAGTTCGCGAAAAACTGCCACCGCACGACCTAATAACAGCAAATGATACGCAATTAGACGTCAATCTCTGCTCTGACATACATCCTATTGCTTCTTCGTTTTGCAACTCAGCTCGTGTACTTTTGGTGTTAAGATCATTACGGATCTGTTTTAGGTAATATTTGCCTTTTCTTTTCTTGCACTTCATTGTTAGTTAAATGGTATTCAAAGCGTTTTTGGCTTTACTCCCTTTTTATTAAGCTGTTAAGTACGCATCTAATCTTTTTTGTTGAGAGGCTAAACACATTCTCAATCTCTCAGCTCAATAGTTGCCTTGAACACTGATGCTTCATAATCTATACTTACTGAAGTTTACAAAAGGCGGGTAAATTCGCCTAATTTTTTACATGTCTGTTGTTTATTGTTGAAACATTTGATCAAAATGCGTGTGTGCTAGTCAAATCCTAACCGATGAACGGGCGATGTATGGTCCTGTTCCAAAGCGCTTACGCTTTGAACCAAACTGTAAATATTAGCAATAAACCTTTTTTTTTCAAATTTATATTGTATCTTGCGGACGAGCCATTCGTGCACGTACAGGGCTTTTCAACCTGAGAGTCGCAAGTTTTGCTTGCGCGGCTCCTCCAACGCGGCCGCCTCGCTCAGGCCGCGCGCGGCGTTTGCTGCGTATCGCCCGGATTTCGCCAAGCTTCAGTCGACGCGCAGCCAGCGCCACGAACGCTGCGCGGACCTAAGCGTGGCGTCCTAGCGGGGCGGGTGGGACACTCAGGTTGTAAAGCCCTGTACAACTGCTGAACTATCATGCAGCGTCTAGAAGAACCGTCATGTTCTTACAGTGGAGTTTATCGTATCTAACTAATATGTATGCATACTTTAGCAAGCTATCATGAAAATTCACTTCTTACTGACCGAATGAGTTGAAGCCAACACAAAACACAGCAAAAGTCTTCAAATGGAGTTTCTTATCTGGAGACCTAAGACTGTGTACATATAGAAGTGAGGGTTTCGTCAGACTTCAGTGAAAAGTGCTAAAAGTGCTTGGTACCCAGTTGGTTGTAAAAAAGAAGGCATACTGTGCTTTTGAAAAGTAATGGTCGTCGTACCTATGGCAGACCTCTGCTGTGTTGGTCTAGATTTTATTCGATTCCGTGCTTGTTGCATACATCGGCGAACATCCCTGTATACCATGTTCAACGTAAGTACGCAAGAAGTAGCCGACAGCTTCGAGGCTGGGTGATCTTTCGGAACCAGCGACGCTGAAGAACGCATCTTGCAATGTACACGCTAAGAGAAAAAGTAATATTGTGATGGTGTTCCAAAGATCATTCGCCGAATTTCTGCGTGCCCTTTAAAAACGGTGTTGAACCGTATCTGTCGCGCTTTCGGTTCCAAGCTAGCGCCAGGTGAAAAGCAACAGCCCTGCTTTGTAGCCTGAGGGAACTCCTGGAACCATGGCTTTGTAAATAGAGTCGTCGTTGACATTTTGTCGTTGCAAAACATACCCTGCATGCTGAACTGACGGTTGTGCGTTCATGGTCCAGAAGGTTCAGAATGGAGACGGCATAACCTAATCTGAAACACAGAATTCAATTATTACTGAAACTGACTACGCCTTTTGTCTTTACGGCACTCTACATCGTCGTTGCACACCTTATGAATGGTGGTGTACAGCTGTCTGACTTCTTCGGCTAGCGAAGCTATTAGGAGGACTGTCATCAGCCATAGCGTTTGGAAATTATTGTATCCCTGACCTGGGATAGCTCAATAAAGATCAAAGATTAGGGGTTTTAACTGCTTTGAGCTTCACCTTCAAAACCAATCTTCAAGCGATCGTTGGAGCTTGTCCCTGAGAACCTACATACATAGAGCTATTGGATATTAACCGACTCTTGGAGATCGCATTTTGCCGTAAAGCTGATGTCCCAACTATGAACGCGCTTGTCTTCATTGGTAAAATCTGCAACAACCAATACTTGAAAAAAAATGAGAAATTTCAGTGAGTGGACATCAAAAACGTTGTAAAGGTGTAAAGGCCAGACAGTGTGGAACTGATATATCTAATATATGAGGAATCTATCTAGTATATAAAGAATCGTTAACTCAATTCAAAAATCTATCTATCTATCTAATATATAAAAAATCGTTAATTCAAGAATCTGCTAATAGCGGGAAACCGCAGTGTGCGGTTCCGAAGCGCGCGCATGCTGTTAGCACCTTCAGTTACTGGTTCATTAGTCGAAAGACCCGTATCCGTACGACTTCATCTTTGCATAAGCTTTAACCCACGCTGCGTTTATTCCCATTGGACATCTCTCAAAGTTGCAGAAATCTTGTGCCAGGAAGTATGCCTCCAAGCACCAACCGAGTGGTGATGATAAGCTAATTTACATGAAAATAGATTCGCAGGAAAACGAGCAGCGGAAGCCGCCGTGCTAGAGAAGTATACGACTATCACGTGCGTATATTCTAAACACCACCATTTTGTTGATGGAATATGCATGCGGTACTTTAAGTAGAAAATATATTATTTGATTTAACAGGATTGGCGGCTGGAAGGCTGAGCTTCGAGGCATGGTTAAGGCTAGAGAATGATTAGAGAGTGCACCCTCGAGGGGAACGCCGACTGCGCCGCGGGCTCGAACGGTCGCCTTCCAGCCGCCATCTTTGACATGACAAAAGCATTACCTACGAATATTTCCAAGGAAATGTGCAGCATCAAAGCCTGGATGTGAGTGATGACAATTGTTATGTAAACAGCTCCTTCACGACCGTCTCCGGGAGACAACAAAAGCGGGTAGAGGAACGAACGCCTCAATTAGGCCCCGCCTCCGCGGACCACTGGTCCCAGCACGATGCGCAACAGTAGGACGAAAGGACCACCAGCCCGCGGAGGCGATGCCTAATTGAGGCGTTCGTTCCTCTACCCACAAAAGCGAGCACATTTGTGATTTCACCCCATACGGTATGGCAAGCGTGTCGAGACGCAGACTAGAGATGGTCCGACAGTCCTCACCCCAACTGGGCGGTGCCCAACAACTCCAGATGAGCTGTGCCTAATCGGGTTCATGTAAAGAAAGACAATCAGGGTGAAGGATTCAAGTCAGGAGAGTGCACCTTCTGTACTTGACAAGCATAATCGCGCGAAATTGTTGTGCGATATGTGTCGATTCGTTGGCACGGACTGCTCAACGCTGCGGACCACGCGCGTCGCCGCTATAATGTTGCATGAGCTCAACTTGTACCCTTCGAATCAACTGGTATGGCGGGGCTTCGTGACCTAATTAGGGCTAGATAATGATCGGAGAGCACGCGCGCGAGAGAGACGCAGACTGCGTCGGGGCGCGAGCGGCCTTAATCAGGTCACAAGGCCCGCCTTCCAGCCGCCAAGCCACTTAAATCAAAGGTTACATATGTACAATGGCGAATTTGTACTAGAGCAAGTGTTTTACCTCGCAGCGCGTGCTCCGCAGTGATATTCGGTCCGTGCGGTTAACGAACGACAGTAGCATCTGTGATCAGCATGCAAACTTATTCCCGTTACGCAACTCAGCCAGATTTCGGTTAGATTGGGCCCAACTCCGCACCGTGTAACCAAAGTACCTCACAAAAGTCCTTGACATGCATGGTAACCTTTGCTTCAGTCTGCGTCTCCTTCGCACTCGTGCTCTCTGATCTCCATCCTTAAAGGCAGTGTCCGGGCAAAGACTCGATTTTAAGATTTTGTGCTTATACGGGCCTATTCGCCATGCTGAATCCGAAAATCCACATTGGAAAGCGCGAAAACGGCGAAAAAGGGCTCTAACACAGGAGGGAAATCAGCAGGTGGGCGGGGCTTTCCCCAGTGCGATTTCACGCTCCCAGCTCCCGGAGCGATTTTCTCGATTCCGCTAGCCGTTCTAACATCGCTACCGGCCAAGTGCGAATGATTGACTTGATACCGGAAGCGAGAAGGTCGTTCCGGAAGCCGGGAACGTGAATTCGCAATGGGGAGGACCCCGCCCACCTGCTCATTTCTCTCCTGTGTTAGAGCCGTTTTTCGCCATTTTCGCGCTCTACAATGTGCATTTTCGGATTCAGCGTAGCGAATAGGCCCAAGTAAGCACAAAATCTCAAAATCGACTTTTTGCCCGGACACTGCCTTTAACTAGGTCAAGAAGACCCGTTTCCAGCCGCCAACTCAGTTGAATCAGAGAGTAGCTGTAGTGTTGATCAGCATGCAGCACGCAGTAACTCATCATGTTTTGTCCCACGGTCAGACAAATGTATGAATTTTACCCAAACCTTATGCCAAGAACTTTACAAATACCTTACTCTACAAGACGATGTGACCTCCATCGTCACTAAATCTATCTAACGCGCAGAGTCCGAATTAGGAAAAGATTTGCGATGTGGTCTGCAACCGATCTCCATTTTTTTTTGACCCATGGAATCCAACGAATACATGCTAAGACAATCCCTCCCTACAAAAATCCAAAAATTGTTTCCTATAGCTCTCAAAATGGCTTCCTTCCTTTTTCTTCACAAAGAGATAAATGGAAAAAAATAAGAGACCAGAACATTATCCGCAACAATCAGCTGTTCATAATGTTTGTGGAAGCTGGACCAAAGAAAATTTGTGGACGAATCGCTCCCGTATTAAAGGACGCTAGGGTCTGACGACGACGTTACCGTACTCAGTTACGGACGCTATATAATTCCAGTTCTGGCCTATGAATAAACTTATTTTTCAAAATAAACTTTTGCTTGACTTCGTAAGATGACCTTCTTCTTCTCAACTCTAATTCTTATGATGATGGGGTGTAAATCTCCCGTTTTCCTGTCCTGTTATAGGAATTTCTCTCGTTTTGGGAGTCACACATGATACAGTTCCTCCTATAAAAGTAGTCTTTTTTGTTGCAGGTAGTTTATCGCCATGCCAAAGCAAATTACTGAGATCAAGGACTTTTTGGTGTTGGCACGCCGAAAGGATGCGAAGATCGTTAAGATCAAGAAGAATAGCCTCAATGTGAAATTCAAGGTCCGCTGCAGCAGATATCTCTTCACGTTGGTTGTCAATGTGAGTTTCACTTCTTTTGTTTCAATGTTTTCACCTTTTTTTTGTTTTTGATTGCATTTCTTTTTGATTTTCATCTTTGATATCACTTAGTTTGTGTATTAGCAAAATATTAACCATCTTGGATGTGTTATCTCCATTATAAGCAGACCTTTCGTGATTGTTCTAGCAGTACTATTAGTCGCATCAGTCGAGGACTTCCAAATAATGAGAAGTTGTAGAATTCCGGAAGTTCCGCTGCAGTGGACAATTTTTGAATTTCGTTTTTGCATGCCCAAATGGCTTTCATTTAGATGTTTCATGCAGTGTGCAAATTTGATTCTCCAGTTCATGCGCTGGCTTGTTTATACTTGCAAATATAAAATAATTTCAAACCCTTCTTAAAGTGCAAATTAGCCGTGTTGAATCTTTTCGGGGCCAATTGGCCATGCTTTCTCTTTATCGAGCTCGGAGTTATGGGCGCACAAAGCTTGGAAAGCATCCCAGAAAGTTAGTCGTTCAAAAAATTTGTCAACCCCCTCCCCTTTTTTTCGAACAGTCGATGCACCGCCACTGGTTCTGAGCAGTGTAGGCACTAGGCTTTATATAAATTACAGTTGTTTTCAATACGTATTGGTTTTTTCTACAGTATGCCTTCCAGCCTCAACATGACGTGGATTGGTGTGGATTGGTGAGGCGCCGCATCGCTTGGGGTTTGCGCCTCGTTGCTTTTCTCGGCGGCGCCGCACCAATCCACACCAGTCCACACCAATCCACACCAATCCACGTCATGTTGAGGCTGGAAGGCATACGGTAGAAAAAACCAATGCGTATTGAAAACGACTGTATCTCATGCAGAATCGAGAAATACATAAGCATGTACCAAGCGTCTGGTAATTTTGAGTTGAATCGTCGAAATGATGTGAACCTCGAGGGCAGTTCTGAAGTTATACTCAATGGTTTGGGATACGGCAGGGCACAAAAATATTTCTCATAAGTTCGTTATTCCTTGATCTTGAGCCACCATTCTAATTAGCGGGTCGAAATTTGAGGTTATGAAGTGAGGGTAAAATTGCGTTTCCATCCGGTGTTTTCTGCAACCAGGCTTTTCTGCCTTTCAAGCAACTTCTGAAGCTTATGCAGCTCTTTACCATTCATATCTTCATATAAATTCAATCAATATTATGATATCTAATCTAACAGCAGCTTGATGATATAACCTGCGCTGCGAAGCCCTGAGATTTTGAGTAGTGAGCGTGCCTTGCTCACGCTCTTGATTACCATGACTTATACGGTTTAGAGGGACCAATCAATCATGATCGCTATCACGAATTTCTCATTCGAGTAGCCTTTCCAAAAATCTCTTTACCTCAACTGCATCCTTTTGAACTCTGGTCTATAATGCTTCATTTCAGGACAAGGATAAGGCGGAGAAGCTGAAGCAATCTTTACCTCCCGGCATCCAGGTCATTGAGCTGAAGTAAAAGGTCAAATGGCGTCTATTTGTTGTTATTGTTTCACATATAAACCTTACGTCATATATCTTCCAAAACTACGACTTTGTCCAAATTTTTTCAACTCTTCAGTTTTGCATTATCACCCGTCTGTAATGCAGTCAAGGCAACTATCGACTAAGCTTTTTGACATGTCATCAGTCTGCCTATCAATGCAGAAAACAATTATTGTGGTGGAAAACTCTTTCGTTTGTTCGAAAAACTTGGGAACATGTGAAGACGTTTGCTTGCATAGGGGAAGTGAGGTATGAGAAAGAATTTCAAACGCTGTTGTAGGGTTATTCAATCTCGAATGCAATTAAATATTGCCTGAAATTTCATGTTGTGGATTCCCGCTAGATTCTCGATAAAATCATGAAGCGTCAAACATTACCATGTCCAAATCTAAGTTTCGTATGCACGCTCACATTTTGTGTGAAGCAAAAGTGATGCACTGGTAAATAATAAGAGCAAAGGCATACCTGTACATTCTGCACAGCTTGACCACTGTCAAATCACTCGACTGAGGTCGAATAATGTGAGAAGGCCTTTGCTGATATGGTGCTCTTCTAATCGTTAGATGAGGAAGGCACTCAGCGACACTTCACAAATATGTTCTTGAAGACGGCGTTGGTGCCGAAACCTCAGCCAAACCATGAATTGTTATACCAAGCTTGGCCGCCGTTCAACAACGAGTTATAGAAAATTGGATTTTTGTTATGGGCCTTATTGAAGCAAATGCGGCTCTTGGACTCTTATCAGTGGAACTTCTTGGGGGTACTATTAAGTGGCACCTAACCTTAGTGTACATGCTCATCTGTAGGGTAGGTGGTTATCGCACTGAAAATTGGTTAAACCAACTATTATAATATAACTGTTAAATTCATACAATTTGTTCAAATAACTTCTCTCATTTGTGGATGTTTCTATGAGTTGATTACTTTTATGCTGTAAGACACCCTTTGATCCAGTGGGATTGGCGGCTGGAAGGTGAGAGCGCGCACCCGCGGCGTAGTCTGCGTCTATCTCGCGAGGGTGCTCTCTGATCATTCTTATCCTTGATTGGGCGTCAAAACCCCCGCCGTCCAGCCGCCAAACTTGTTGTCAAAGGGTATCTTGATCAATATCCTAAGAAGTAACAATCCTCTCTCCAAACGCTGACCTAGACAAAAGAATGATTACTAGCCGTTTCACTGGATCTTGGTCAAAAACAATGTTCTTCAACAATTATTTTGAGGACCTCTCTGCGACTGAATAATTCTGTTGGAAATTCCAACAGAATTATTCAGTCGCAGAGAGGTCCTCAAAATAACTGTTGAAGAAGAGTCATCAGAATCTGTCAGAATCTGATGACTTTCAATAACTCTGATTTTTCACTCAATTCTTCACTTTTAGGCGTCCTCATCCGAGAACGTCTAAAAGTGAAGTTCAATGAGATTTCGGTTTCAAGTTCAGCCGCGATATGTCCGATTGGAGTAAAGATCTGCATCTAGGGGGTTTTCAAGAGTCCAGTTTTCAGTCGCAGAGAGGTCCTCAAAATAACTGTTTTCAAGCACGATGATTCCGAATTTACAAATGTTTTTGCTCAACACTTCCAAATTCTGTCCTTTTTGAAAATTGAAGTTTTCGTCTTCACTGTAAATTTGAAAAGCTGGTATTTGAGGGTTTTTATCACGCCGGTTTTTTAACGCGTTGACGACCGAGCCATTTTTGACCACATCAAAATAGACTCATAGTCTACGGCTGCAGTTAAGACTGTTTAACAGCTACCGCAGTGCGTGTTCTATATGACAACCAGCCACCAGTGTTATCACTGCATAGAAATTACTTGAGAACTTTTCGTTTACACATGATAAATTGATGCACGAAAGTGCTAAAAGGTGGTCAGGGCGTACGCGTGGACGCACACGGTCGTCAACGTGTTAAATTTACAGTGTAGTCAAAAAGAGTATCTTTCAAAAAGAAAATTTGGAAGTTTTCAGCAAAACCACTAGCATATTCGAAAGCAGAGTGCTTTAAAACACTAGATAAAGTTTTTACTCCAATCGGACATATATCGCTGCTGAACTTTTTTAAGATGTAGCCTAAGCCCAACCGTATAGAAGAATAGCCCACGTGGGGTGTATGCCAAGATGAACAATAGCTGGAAATAAGCATACTGTACTCGTTCGGTTGTCAATATGCCGCGCCTAAAGTCTTATTTTTTTCAAGCGATAAGTTCTTCACTGGGTTGAAAATGGTGTCGAGCAGTAAGAATAAGGCGGTATCGAGCTCCCAACGTTTTTTCCAAAATTTTGAATATCATCATAGCGTAATTATAGAATCTAGAAAATATTTGACCTACGCAACGCATATGGCTGGCATAATCTATCGTTCATGTTGGCTGCTCCCCGCCCACGTGCAATCGTATGGCTGGATGAACCTTGTCACCGGAAGCATGTACCATCTGTCCATTGTGCCAAGTCCGGGAGGCAGCCAACATGAACGATAGGTCGTGCCAGCCATATGCGCTGCGTAGGTCAAATCTTTTTCAGATTCCATATTTACGCTATTATGATAACTAGAAACTTGGAAAAAACGCTGAAAGTTCTATATGCCTTATTCTTACTGCTCGACACCGTTTTCAATCCAGTTTAGGACATATAGCTTCAAAAAATAAGACTTTATGCGCGACATATTGACAACCGCTGGAGTACAGTATGCTTATTGCCAGCTATCGTTCATCTTGGCATACACTCCCAAGTCCCGGTCACGTATATAAGATCGTCCGACAGCTGGCACGGCAGTCTCCTCTACCCCTTGCAGCCTATAGGCTGTACCAGCCAGCATCGGTCCCGCGCCAGTATGCCTTGCGACGACGCACCGTCGCATGAGACGTGCCTTAACGCGTAGCATAGTTCGCACGCGTCACACCGCACCGTCGCAAGCTGCCGCAGGCGCGATGTCGCATAACCGATGCTGGTTGGTACAGCATATAGCTGTTCCCCCTCTCTTTCCCCCTCTACCTTATTTATGTATATATGATAAATCGAATAATATACTCTTATGTAATACCGCCACACACCCAGGTGAGGGCCTAGCTAACCCTTATCCTGACAACTTGAGGCCGCAATTTCATTGAAACTCACTTTTATGTGTTTTCGGATGAGGAGGAGGTTGGGCGATAAGGTGATGATTAGATGCTAACCAGCGTTGCTGACAACTCATGCCTTCTATAACTACGCTGCGGCAAGTATTTTGGGTAGATAAGTCCCCTCACCCACTTCAAGATGATACTCAGATCATGACTTGACTACTTAATTATGTGCATTGTCGCCTCTTTTACGCTCTATGCTTCACTTTATAGTGGTAGACCTTATTGGTCGTATCAAAAGGGGGCTTTTTCCATGTTCCAGCGGAAAATTTGAATAATAAAAAACGCAACCAGCCGAGATGCCAGAAACAAGTGAGTACCTTCGACTTTTGTTGATGATTCCTGTATCATCAACCATTGATAAAATCTGTAATCTAAATAGCTTACGGAATCTCCGTAGGCTAAATGGTGAGCTACTCTTGTTTATCTAATCACTTAAGAGTGAGTGGACCCGTGCGCCAGGAGTGTAGCCAATCGGCGGCTTTTCCTTTCAAGCACCAACTCGTATACATTGTACCCTGATGTGAAACGCGTTGAGCCGTTGACAATTTATTAGAAAAACACAAGAGTTCCCCCTCTGCCTATCGGCGTACATGCCGAGGGTTCACTAGGAATAACTAGAGAACAACGCACACAAATATATCAAAGCGCGGCGGGTACGCCGCAACCACAGAGACCATATCGACCTAGCCTATAGTGAGCGAGCAAGTTCTGATATAAGGGACGGCTCTACAACACCTCCCTCCTAAGATGAACAACGGTACATCTTATAACAAGGATCTACTTGTAGACGTTCTGGTGGACGACGATGGCGACTTCGTCTGGTTGATGTCGGTGGTGTAGAAGAGGTGGCTTGGTGCTCAGCAACATCCATACCATGGTTAAGTCGGTCTTCATCGGAAGTGGACTGTGTCGAGTCATAATGTCGATCCATATTTGCTGCTCGGCGCATCTGGTTCGCATGACGTCTCCATAGCTAACCGTCTTCAGTAAGCACGCCATACAAGGCTTCTCCATAGCGTTTCTTCACTCGAGCTGGAATCCATTTTTCACATCCAGAGCGAAAATCACGTACCCACACGGCTTCTTGTGGCTGGTACGCTCTCTTTCGTGCTCCATGGTGGCGGTTGAACTGCTTCTCCATGTTTTCATTGGCCATTCCTTCTTCTTTGGAGTCTTCATTCAGCAGCGACAGCGGTGTCCTGATCTGACGTCTCAGGAGCAGCTCAGCAGGCGAACGTTGTTCTGGAGCAGTTGTACAAGGCGTCCGTCGATAAGGCTGCAGAAACTCCGCGAGCTTCTCTGCCATTCCTCCCTCCTTAATTTTCTGGAAGGTTCTCTTGAAGATATCCACAAACCTCTCCGCTTGTCCATTCGATTGTGGATGGAATGGAGGTGAACGCATATGCTTGATTCCTCGTTCTTCACAGAAGTCTTGGAACTCTTTTGCTGTAAACTGCGTCCCATTATCCGACACGATCACTCGCGGATTTCCAAATCGTGCGAATAGAGATTTGAGTTCCTTCAGAGTAGCTGTAGTTGACGATGAAGGCATCTCAAAAATTTCTGGCCATTTCGAGTAAGCGTCAACTACGACGAGATACATCTTACCATTCAGCGGCCCTGCGTACTCAATGTGAAGTCGCCATGGTTTGTCTTCTACTTTCCATGAATGCAGCAACGTCTTCACTGGCATTTTGGAGGCTTGCTGACAATCTCTACAGCGGCGCACTGAGTCTTCAATTTCTCTGTTGATGCCCATCCAATAGGCGAAAATCCTCTCGCGAGCATCTTCATCCTTGTCATTCCAGGGTGACCCTTGTGTAACTGCTTCAAAACTGCTTGTCTCAGCGAAGCTGGAATGACTATTCTGTG